TCCACATTGGGATGGGATGCTCAATAGGTTTGTAGTGGAGCAGGAGTTTTTCTGGAAAGATGAAGCTCTATTTTATGGGCCTTTCTTCACACAAGTCAATACAAAGTTGGTAGATTAAAATCCAGAACAATAGTGTGAAATATAAGACCCAAATATTTTAATCCTCACAATTCATAAACAAGTCTAGTTCACATAATCAAAAGTTTATTGGAGATAAAATGAAGAAAAATAAAAAGCAGTTGCAAGCTTTTAGACCCTTCCCAAATGGATTGAGTTCAAAGAGCGCAAAAAGCAGTTTTCAAGCTATACGTTTTATACTCCTACACAATGCAAGCCACGCCTAAGAATCCTTCCCAACTCCCCTTTATTCTCCTAAATCATTCTTCAAGTTGTTTTGCACTTTAAAGGGTCATCTTGACATTTCCTGCCTAACAACAACTATCTTATAGTGTTTATTTTTACTGATAGTGGTCTTGCCCAAGGCGTAGGTTCCTGTATCCAAGGGAGCTTTTAGCAAGTCATAACACACTGTCTTTACTAAGTACAATTTGTGGTCAGTTTCCAACAGTAAGAACATCATAGCTTTTTAAAACATTAAACACTGTTATAAAGAATAATTTATTATTCATTTCCTTCACTAGCACCACTTTACTTCATGCCATTTGTTTACCTATTCTCAGGAGGAGAAGCAGCTGCTGTGGCTGCATATCAGTGGTGGGTTTCAAATTTTTTTATAACTGGTTCTGTGGGTGTGGCATGGTGGGCATGGCATGGCTTGGTGGGCGTGGCATGGTGGGCGTGGCAGGGGAAGGATACTGTAAAATCTCCATTCCCTCCCCAATTCAGGGGAAGGATATTGAAAAATCCCCATTTCCTCCCTATCAGCTGGGACTTGGGAGGCAGAGAATAGATGGGGGTGGGGCCAGTCAACATTTTACTACCAGTTCTCCGAACTACTCAAAATTTCTACTACCAGTTCTCCAGAACTGGTCAGAATCTGCTGAAGCCCACCTCTGCTGCATATAGCACACAAGGGCTATGTTCTCCCAACTATATCTTGGGAGACTGTCTTCACAGGATATGTTTTCTTGGTTAGTAGCAGCTCTCCCCCCCCTCCTCCTCCTCCTCCTCCTCCTCCCTCCTCCTCCTCCTCCTCCTTTCTCCCCTTCTCCCTCCTTTCTGTGTTGTATCAACTCAGCCAGCTAATCCAGTCTGTGATTTAATGCATTGTGTAAACCTAGACAATGATGGGTCAGTTCAGTAACTGCTTTGAGCATGTTTTATGAACATAGTCAGAACTTCTGAGGGGACAAGCAGTTTCATAAAGGAAGGGAGCTTAGCAGAGGTGGGTTTCAGCAGGTTCTGACCAGTTCTGGAGAACCAGTAGCAGAAATTTTGAGTAGTTCGGAAAACCAGTAGTAAAAATTCTGACTGGCCCCGCCCCCATCTATTCTCTGCCTCCCAAGTCCCAGCTGATTGGGAGGAAATGGAGATTTTACAGTATCCTTCCACTGCCATACCCACCGTGCCATGCCACGCCCACCAAGCCACACCCACAGAACCGATAGTAAAAATTTTTGAAACCCATCACTGGAGCTTAGATGTTTGGGTGGTATACCCAGATGTTTCCAACAGAGACCCCACTTGTGACCACCCAAAATCTACCTAAGGATAATCAAGTCAAAACCTGCTGCACTCAGACAACTGATAGGCACCTTTCCTTAACAAATATTATTTCTCAAAAAACAACCTTATCTTCACATGGTGAACAAGTCAAAGTCTCTCTGGAAAATATACCCTTCCAATCCATTTGTATTTTACAGGCATAGTGGAATGGCAAAAATCTAAAAATAAAATCAAGTCACTTAGAATTATTATTGAGACTTAGAGTTAACTGTTGGGACAGTGCTGTGATTATTAGATTATTTGCTGGGTAAACTCAATGCTCATGATAAGCTAATTATAAACTGAAGGAGGGAAAAAACATGCAGGAAGGGAATGCTAGGTATGTTTAAACACAGCTCCCTTAGCAACCAGTCTGACAACTTTCTTCCTGCTGGTATTTTCTACTGACCAGTGAGTCCTTGCTATGGATCCAGGGGGCAACAGTGCTGTCTCCCCACAAGCCTACCTCATTCAGCAACCAGTAAGTCACTGCAATGGGTGGGAATTTTGAAAGGTATATCACTCTGAGCAGCAGAGAGAAGAATCTTTTTTAGTCCTACACGTCTTCTTAATTCAGTTCCAACCAAGAAAAGTTCTGGGTTACCAAATTCTGTGTGGTCTGTGGGATAGACTAGATTGTAATGGAAGAGGCAATAAATTTTATATGCTATAGCTAATTGTAACACCCCTCCTGAATCCCAAATGGAGAACAGAAAATGAAAATATAACAAGAATTCTTGTGTCATCTAAAAGTCTAGCATATTTATGACTGCATAAAACTTAATATATCTAGATCCACTTCCTCAGAGGCTGGGAATAGTCAGCTGTCAATGCTGGAGGAGTTAGGTATAATAGCCCTGCCTTAATTACCATATTTTTTGGAATATAAGACGCAGCGGAGTATAAGACACACCTTACTTTTTGGGGAGGAAAATAAGAAAATAGCTGATTGGCAGGTAGATTGGCTTCATGGAATGCCCCCAATCAGCTGTTCTCAGAGGTGAATTTTAGCAACAGGTTCCTTGGTTGTGAGCTCTATGCCTTGCTTTTTTTTTTTTTTTTTTTTTTCTCTGTAAAATTTTTAAAACTTTTTTTCAGAAAAACTTTTTTTTTCTGCCTCTGAAAGCCTCTGGAAAAAAGCCTCTGAAGCTCTGTTTGGGGGCTTCTTTTCTGAAGCTTCGTTTCTGATGCTTTTTTCAGCCTCTGAAACCTTTTACAAGCTGGGCAGGGCTACATTCGGAGTAAAAGATGCACCCAGATTTTCACCCTCTTTTTTGGGGGGAAAAAGGTGCGTCTTATACTCCAAAAAATATGGGTAAGCTGATGAAGTAGATAGAGATATACAAACACTTATGTGCTAATAAGTTAATTAAATCACCCAGACCTCTTTTGCACTTGCAGTGAAAAACCAACCTGGTCACCTTTCTGCCAAATGAAAATGAGGATAGAAAACCCCTGTGTAGACAGAACATACCGGTAGATGGCAAATAGTTGTGCCATGCCCAACTGCCCTTAGAGATTTTTGTCTGACAACTAGCTTTGTTTAACATCTTTACCTGGGCAGCAACCCACATCCCACACTATCACCATCATCTACTCATGAAGAAACATGACTTCTTTTTTCTACCACATCATGACGACGTTGCCTTCATCTGTAGCCCATATCTGAGAGGCCTTCAAGTTGTCCTTAGCTGTATTAATGTTGAGGTAAATTTCTGATACATTTCTCTAATTGTAAATATATGTGGACATCTCTCACCAATCATTACATTAGTATCTCCCAGACCTGGGACTGGATCAGCAGCCACTGGCCACTTTGGGATAGTTCAGACCTGCCTCATTCTTTCTTTTCCTTGAGCACTTCCACATTCTCCAGAGCCCTTCTGCTGTGAGCTATAGGGGAGTCTGTAGTAGTTATTCCAAATGATACTTCCCCATTGAACTCATTAGGTCTTCCAGTCTTGGAAAGAGGAATTAACATAATGAATAAATGATGGGGATGAAGGGAAGGGCTCTGCAGTGCAACTGGAGGAGCACTTCTACCACCCTGTCAGCTGTTAGGTGGGCTATTTTTAAATATGGGCTAAGTGTTCTTTCTCTAAATCACCAAAATTGTGTTTAAAAATAACTAATCCAACTGCTGACAAGCATAGGAAAGGGATTGTGCAATGCCACAGGAGAAGGAATCATGCTTTATGGTGCAACACCATCTTTCATCAGCTTCTAGGTGAAGTGAAAGAGCACTAAATCATGTTTAAAGATAGCTTGACAGGCATACTATGTATTGTCTGATGCAGCAGGAGCCTCCCTTCTGCTAAAGTATGCAATTTCCTCCTGAATGCTGTACACCGCAGAGGGAAGTTGTTGGTGCAGTAGGAGGAGACTTCTGCCAAATTGTCCAACTGAGGGGGTTCCTGCAATGCAGCAGGAATTCTGTAATTCAACTTAGAAATAAGAACAAAAATCTGGAGTCTCTAGCTCAAATTCAAGAAGGTGTCTTGAGCAGAGGGAACCAGCTGAATTACTGAAGATTAGAGAAGGGCAGTGCTAGCTAAAGGGGTCAGTTCAGAGGGGGGGATTTGGAAATACAAACATTGTTTACCCATTTGTAGTCTCAGTTTTAATTTGTATTAAATTTTTTAAATGTTGATTTTATTCATTATTATCTTAACTAATTAATTTAATTAGGCAATTTGCTTATTCAGTATGTTGTTCAGATGTTCTTTAAATCAGTATTTAACTTAAACTGTTGTTCTGATTGTTGTGAATTTTTCCCACATGCTGGCTTGAAAAACAGGGGCAGCAAGGGATGACATCAGTAGGCATTAGAGCAGGTTATTTGGGGAATATTGGAGAAAATCTAGTCTTAGAGGCTTATAGCAAGTGGGCCTTCTATGGACTCCTTAAATCTCCCAGTATTTAGTTTTGCCCATGATTAGAAATCTGAATAAAGCTTCAGTATAAGGAGATTGTGAAAGGTGCAACAGCATCCTTGCAGAGAATGATCCTGAAAAGTCATCCTGGTGTAAGAGAGGGCAAAGGACCACTCTGATCTATCAAAAAATTCCTGGGAGATCCACAGTATATAGGCCAACATTTCTGTTTGCAATTGTTTAACCATCAGAAAAACTTGGATTCCATCCATTCTAAATTATACCACTGGGAGGAAAGAAGCCAGGGGTGCCTAGCTGTGTATTTAGTTTAAGTTTTAATCTAGCTCAATCACATGTATAATATCTGTATAAAAGAACAATAATGGCAGAACGTTATCCAGGAAAAAGTGGCAAGAGTCAGGTCCCCTGGTCTTCTCTGAATTTCCTTCCACTGTTTGTCAGATTACTCAAGAGCCAGAAGTGACCATTCTCCAGCAGATGCCATGGACACTTCCTCAGTCAAGCTGCACAAGCCACATCAAAGAAAGTAAGAAATCAGGTTTACCAATTCGCTAGAGAACTGAAATTGGTGGAAGGAGGATATCCTAAAAGAAACAGCTGATTGTCTTGGAACATATCTATGTATTACTAGTCTGGAAAAAAACTCCACCCCGATCCATACTACTAGCTGAAGAAATTCAGAATATTTTAAACCTTACATTTTTGAATCTCTTTTAATCTATTATATCAATAGATAATATATTCTAATAATGTTTTTTTAAAAAAATCTGATACTCATTTATAATGCAAGCATGTTGCTTTTTATATTTCTGATATAAATTTGATCCACCCATGATCCAAATATTTTTCTTAACCTATGAAATGACGCCAATCTCTCTAGTCTTCAACTGATGTAGGAATCTACAGAGGTGCTTTGACTTTTGCAAGGTAATCTTGCAGTAATAACTTTCCAGTTCTGCCACTCTATTATAATGAGGATGTTTTTTAAATTATAAAATAGACTATTGTCAATATCAATTATTACAAACAAACAAAAAAGAAAGAATGAGAAATTGCAACAAAATGTATGTGAGGCATGTAATTCCATCAGACATACATCACTACCACATTTGAAATGCTCATGTTCACATTTGAAATGCTCATGATGCTACAGATATTGGTCAGTAGGTACCAGTCACTCTCTCAAAACTGATTCCAATGATACATAAAGCCATGTAATTGGCTCATGATTATCTGGAGGAGCATTGCAGAGTGCAATGGCAAAATACTTTGTTATTTCTTACAATAAGTGGCTAATTCATAGCCCTTGAAAATAATTTGAAACAGCTTTATAAATCTTGTGCCATGTGTCTAGTAACAGCCACTTTTCTTCTTCTTAGTTGTCTGGATTAGATGGGTAACTACTTTGAGAATAGATGTATTAAAAGATTGGAAACATGGACTGAGACTTGAAAATGTTTCAATTTTAATCTGAGTTTGCCTGAAATGCAATAATTTATTATATTCTAATAAATATAGAATATATTCTATATTTTCATTTTTATGCCACATGTTTGTTTTGTAATTTCATTTGATTTATTCAAATTAAATTTAATGGATTAAAAGTGCCACTATTTTCAAACATTAAGCTCTATAGGCAAAGAGTGCACAGATTCTCCTACGCTGAAAATCAGACTTGGCCTTTGAACACATGGAAGTGCAATGTTAAAATTTGCAATGTTAATTTTGATTTCATTTCACTTGTATTTAATTAAAACTAAATATAATTAATATGTTTTTGCAGTCTAGTATTTGGAAAGTTTTACTTTCTCTCATGAACCTTGGAATCTGAAAATTCTGATAGCTTGTGGGACTGTGTGTGATGCTATGAGTTCAGGTTGTGCACCTTTGCTCTAATGGTTCTGTAATTCCTTCTTTCATGTTAGATATTTCTGTTGTGTATATGTATAAATAAATCAGTGCATATTGATTGTATTCTTAACTTCTGGAAGATTTAATAGAGCTAATGATGATACAAAATGCCCAGATGCATCAAGTCATAATGAACAATCTGGCTATGTCAGCAGCAGCATGCTTTGAATCCAATCCAAACCAGGTAGGTAGATTGTTGATCTAGGGTGGGTTTTACATACGACTGAGGACACAGGAAAAAAGGGGAAAAAGCAGGGGTGAAATGTAAAATTTGTTACTACCGGTTCTGTGGGCGTGACTTGGGGGGGTAATGTGACTGGGTGGACGTGGCCAACTTTTTATTTATTTATTTATTTTTCAAAGCATTTTTTCTAATGCTTTGAAAAGCCTCTGCCGGTCAGGCAACTCAGCTGGGATCATCAGAGACTTTTCACAGCATTTTTTTTTACCACTTCTTCGGTGGTAAAAGAGATTGCAGAAAAAAATGCTTTGAAAAGCCTCTGACGATCCCAGCTGAGCCGCGTAATTATTAGAGGCTTTTTTTTTACTTTTAAAAGCATTTTTTCTTCAGAAGAGGTTGTAGAAAAAATGCTTTTAAAAGTTAAAAAAAAAGCCTCTGATGATCGTGTAGCTCAGCTGGGCATAGTGGGAGGGGACGCGCAGGGATTTTTGCTACCAGTTCTCCGAACCACCCGCCACCATCGCTACCTGATCAGGCGATCCAGTCCGAACCGGGAGCATTTCACCCCTGGAAAAAAGGCATTTCTGTGCCAACTATCTTGCTTTCTACTGGCTTCAACTGATGGGCAGGAGAGCAGAAAAACGTGTGTCTTGATGTCACATCATACGTACCAGAAGCCACCATGGAATAGATTGCCATTTTTCAATGAGAACTTTATAAGTTTCATTCTTAAATCTAAATCTGTTGTGAGAATGAATGTGCCTACTTTTATTACAAAGAGATATCTCTAATGCGTAATGATTTTGTTGTTTTGAAACTAATTGGCTGCCCAGCATGTGAAATGCAGCTACTAATGAATACAGGCAGGAACAGATATGTATGAAGCAATGTCACATCATCTGAAATACATTTGAAGTCGATAAAATACTGAATGACTCTGCATGTGTAATTGGATGTGAGAACAACTTTGAGGAACAGGAGGAAGAGTTGCAGCCAAGGCAAGAGTCAGACAAGACAAATCTGAGTCCAAAGCAGAAATATTTTATTTATTTTTATTTTATTGTTCATATTTCTATGCCGCCCACTCTCTGAGGACTCTGGGCGGCTTACACCAAAGACAGTATACTAAATAGCATATTGCCCCCAACAATCTGGGTCCTCATTTTACCCACCTCAGAAGGATGGAAGGCTGAGTCAACCTTGAGCCGGTGAGATTTGATCCACTGATCTGCTGAACTAGCAGTCAGCTGAAGTAGCTGCAGTACTGCACTCTAACCACTGTGCCACCTCGGCTCTATAGAATTTGAAAAAGCATTTCAGGTATGACCATCCATAGTTCTCTTAGGATAAAGGCAGAGAGAAGAAAAGCATGTTTAGATTGCAATATTCTCTTACTATAATTTATAATAAAAGTGATTTTAGTACTCATGACTTCAAGGCCTACCTTCAAGAGCCAATGGCTTCAAAGCCCTGACTTGACAGCCACACAGGAGAAATAAAGAAATGTGATGCACCAAGTCAATTCTCAGAAGTTTTTTTTCTGATCAGGATCCAGAATATATCTAGGGCTAACTTCATGACCCAAAATTACTATTATAATGCATAATAAATTATTATTTTCACTACTCACATTTTCAAAGTCTCTTTTACATAATGCAGCCAGATTTTCTGCCTAAAACAGTCACAACAGCAATATTAATAGATTTTAGTATAAACAGATTTCTAACTCAAGGCAACTGTGATTTGTCGGAAGGAGAGAGGAACAGTACTGAGAATTGGAAGGGGCTGGAGAAGGTGAGCAGAGAAAGACTCTCAGAAGTAGTAAATTGCTAGCCTGTCAAGGTAAAAGTAGATCTTTACTATTCCTTAAAGGTAGACTTAGTTTTGTTGAGTCATCTCACTTCAATTTATTGCTCACCTCATGCTATTGCAACAGGAAATACCAATTTATTAACAGGACTATGTCAATACAGCCACAGGGAAAACCATTTTGGGTTTATGATCCTTGAGAGAAGGACCACTGCCTTAAGTGTCCTAATCTTTCTTTCTAGCAGATACCCCTTATCCCCTGGCAGACAGAGGATGAAGATGAGATTGACATGGTATTCCACCATTATTATGCACCCTATCCAAACACCCTTCCATTCAGAACATGGAAGCCTCCGTCTCAATCTTCAGGTTTGACACAGCAGCAGCCCATCATTCGTCATGTGGGCCCAGATCTTCAGTCAACGGGGAGACAAGATGATGGGTGAGCAAAACTGTGCAGATGGGAAAAGGAATATAAACAATCAAATGAAGTGCTTCATTTCAGTATTCCACTATGCATTGTCATAATTCATCCAAATGCCCTATTTAGGGTGACCTGCTCCCTGCTCCTTCAGGAAGCATGGGAGGACCCCTTGGAGGGTAGAGCCGAGGACTTTGTACAGTATCTGTATGATAAAATTGCTCAGATTCGGGAACATCTGGACTCTGACGGGATAGATTCAGAGGGGAGGATGGAGGCAGGTCTTGAGAATATTATCTGGGAAGAGTTTGATTCTGTGACTCCTGAAGACATGGACAGGATACTGAGTAGACTGAATGCTGCCACAGGTTTATTGGACCCGTGTCCCTCCTGGTTGGTGCTGGCCCCTTGGGAGGTTACACGAGGCTGGCTCCAGGGGATTATAAATGCTTCTCTGAGTGAGGGTGTCTTTCCCGCTGCTTTGAAAGAGGCAGTGGTGAGACCTCTCCTCAAGAAGCCTTCCCTGGACCCGGCAGTATTGGCTAATTACCGTCCAGTCTCCAATCTTCGCTTTGTTGCGAAGGTTGTTGAGAGTGTGGTAGCACGACAGCTCCCTCAGTACCTGGATGAATTGGCTTATCTGGATCCATTCCAGTCGGGCTTCAGGCCTGGGTACAGCACGGAAACGGCATTGGTTGCATTGGTTGATGATCTCTGGAGGGCTCAGGACAGGGGTTGCTCCTCTGTCCTGGTCCTATTAGACCTCTCAGCGGCTTTTGATACCATCGACCATGGCATCATGCTGCACCAGCTGGAAGAGTTAGGGGTGGGAGGCACCGTGTTGAGGTGGTTCTCCTCCTTCCTCTCCGACCGGTTGCAGTCAGTGTTAGCAGGGGGCAGAGGTCAACCCCAAGGCCCCTTGTATGTGGGGTGCCACAAGGGTCAGTCCTCTCACCCCTTCTGTTCAACATTTATGTGAAGCCGCTGGGTGAGATCATCCGTGGTTTCGGGGTGAAGTACCACCAGTACGCTGATGACACCCAGCTGTACATCTCCACCCCGGACCACCCCAATGATGCCCTTGAAGTGATGTCCTGGTGCCTGGAGGCTGTACGGATCTGGATGGGGAGGAACAGACTCAGGCTCAACCCATCCAAGACCAAGTGGCTGTGGTTTCTGACATCCCGATATAGTCAGTTGGTGCCATCACTGACTATTGGGGGTGAGTCGTTGGCCCCCACGGAGAGGGCTCACAACTTGGGGGTCCTCCTGGACTCACAGCTGTCTTTAGAAGAGCACTTGACGGCTGTGGCCGGGAGAGCGTTTTATCAGGTTCGCCTGATTCGCCAGTTGCGTCCCTTTCTGGATCAGGACTCATTAAATACGGTCACTCATGCCCTCGTCACTTCCCGCCTGGACTATTGCAATGCTGTCTACATGGGGCTCCCCTTGAGGAGCACCTGGAGGCTCCAGCTGATCCAGAATGCTGCTGCGCAGGTGGTTATGGGAGCGACAGGGCGCTCCCATGTGACCCCCCCTCCTGCGCGAGCTGCACTGGCTCCGGGTGGTCTTCCGGGTGTGCTTTAAGGTTTTGGTTACCACCTTTAGAGCGCTCCATGGCTTAGGACCAGGCTATCTACGAGACTGCCTTCTGCCACCAGTCGCTTCTCACTGACCAGTACGCTCCCATAGAGAGGAGCTCCTCAGGGTGCCATTGGCCAAAAAGTGTCGACTGGCGGCCCCCAGGGGGAGAGCCTTCTCTGTGGGGCACCCGCCATCTGGAACGAGCTTCCCCGGGAGATACGGAGGATCCCGGACCTGCGCACTTTCCGCCGTGCCATCAAAACATTTCTCTTCCAGCAGGCCGGTCTGGCCTAACCTCTCTTTTAAACTGTTTTTTAAAATTTTTAAAATTTTTAAATTTTAAATTTGTCTTATGAATTTGGGGTGTTTTAAATTTCGTTTTCCGGGCCAATTATTTAATTGTATTTTAATGGTTTTTTAACATTTGTATTATATGTATTTTATTTGGCTGTTCACCACCCTGAGTCCTTCGGGAGTAGGGTGGTATACAAATTCAATAAATAAATAATAAATAAATAAATAAAATGTTGCATATAAAACATGTAAGGCTAAGACAAGTGGTAAAATAGTAATAGTCATCACAAAAAGTGCCAAGTAAGATGCACCTGGACTCAGGACTTTCTCTAGATTATGATAAATAAATAAATAACTTTATTGTTATTGTACGTGTATACACAGTATACCCATACAACTAAATTCACTTAACACCCAAAGACCAGGTCCAACACACATAACAATCCCCAAACACCCTCCCACCCACCACAATTCTCCATCCCTAAACCACCCAAACATCCACACAAGAGACCAAGTAGTACTGTCCAACAGCTCACTGATGGTGCCCTTTAGTTCATTGTTGAACTAAACTAAATTAAAACTATAGCTCTGGGATAAAAACTATTCAGAAAACGTGTGGTCCGAGTTTTAATTGTTCTGTATCTTCTGCCAGAAGGCAACAGTCCAAAAAGATTGTAAGCAGGATGGGAAGAGTCTCTGAGAATGTTATGCAACTTTCTCAAACAGTGAGATTCGAAGATGTCATCCAGGGCTGGTAGCTGGAGTCCGATGATATTCTGGGCAGTTTTAATGATTCTCTGTAGAGCTTTTTTGTCTGCTACAGAGCTGCTCCCATATCATGCAAGAATTCCGTATGTCAGGACACTCTCAGTGGTGCTGCGATAGTAGGACAGAAGTAGATGCTGAGACAGATTTATCTTCCTGACCATTCTCAGGAAGTACAGCCTCTTCTGTGCCTTCTTCACAAGCATGTCAGCATTCATAGTCCATGAGAGGTCCTCCGAGATATAAATGCCCAGAAATTTAAAACTACCCATCCTTTCCACCTCCTCACCTATGGTAAGCCAAGTGAAGTAAACTTGCATTGTATAATCACCACCACTAATACCCTGTCTGTGGCACTACTGCTATTATTTATTGTTCGTATTCCCGTATTCTGCATATAAATTTTTGCTAAATGTGTAAATATCCCAGATATTTACTATTGCTTATTCTTGTAGAATTTATTCAATTACTTCACATCTTGAAAAACAATTGTATTTACAGAGAACAAAAAGATCAGCAATACTAGAAGCTTCAGTTGGCTCCTAGTATTTTATTAGGCATTTCAAAGAAAAAGTCAGATGAAATTTCTGCTAATTTAATAAAAGGGAAGAAACTTGCTTTAAACAAAACAGGGGGAGGACCTTAAAACTAGTGTCTTCTAAAATAAGCAGAACTATCAGTATAAGGTAGTTCCCATGGGTATTGAGAGTTAACCATGGATATTTCCCGCCACTTTGTAATATTAATATTTCATTTTAATTTATTATCTATCTATTTAGTCAAGTGGTACCCCCGCCCCCACCCCCAAGTGCCACTGGAACAGTCACAGCCGATGTCCTACCAGCTTCAGGTAAGGATGCAGTGGATGGACCACACACAGATCCATTTCATTATTTCCATCATAACTTTCTGATGCAGGTGGAGTTATAGAGTCTTTTTCCCCTGTTAATTTAAGCACTGGCTTAATGTCAGTTCAGCCATTTACTACAAAGTCTCAACTTGACAGCTTTAAGATGTAGCTACACTGATCTAGATGAATGTAAACTATAAAAGTCAAATAAAGCCTAATGAAACTGTAATACTGCTCAGTTTGTATCACCAATTAATGGCCGTTTTAGGCGGTATACAACTTTAAAATCTCAAGGCTGTAACTATTTTTTAAAATAACCATTATTTTTAAAAGTATTAGCAATTTAAAAGGGCCCAATTTCACCAGATTCTATACATTTCCTATGAAATCTTGCAAGATTTCCAATGAAAGCACAGAGATTTTAACCTTTAGCAGTCTTGCATGATTTAACCATTTATAATTCAACAACATTTTTGTAATCGTGTTTTATTGGGAGAGATCAGAGCTGCATCTAGGACTATTGTAAGTTTTCTCATGCTCACGGTGTTGCATTGCCAACATTGATTAAATAATATTTGAATTTATTTAAAAGATATTTTTGTAGATATTAAAGAACTATTCTCTCTCTAGAAAAAGGAGATGGAGAATAGGAGGAAAGCAAAGAGAAGTGTGAGACCAATGGCAGTGTAAGCACCTTTCCTCTGCTAGAAAGATAATTTGTGCAATTTTCTCCTTCCAGAATACTATGACTACACTGAGCGATGGAAGTGAAATTAAAATTTCATCTATTTTTCCTCCAAAAAAATTCGAGTTCCCAGCTGCAAGAAGTCTAAAAAGCTCTTCTGAATTGCACTCTAGCCAACCAGAGTATGGCAGGACATACTGTTTTCCTAATAGGATCAAAGCCTAAGATCAAAGCTAGTATGTTTATATTTGTGCACATTTTTCAAAGTTTGGAATAAATTGTATATGACGTTATATGAGTTATGCGTAATGCTTCTATGGACAGGTGCTGCTTCCATTTTCTACAGAGCAGCTATACTTTAATATTTTGTCTAGGTTTGCCCAGCCCACTTCCAAGAAGTATATATATTTTTATTATCGTTATGAATTCTTGAGCCCAAGAAGATTAAGTGTGTACTGATACTTCTTCACTTTTCTGCTTTGGGCTGGCACCTGCTGTTAACCTCATCTCTGTTTGTTTGTTTGTTGTGCTGAGCATCACAATGGTCTTTGTCCTTCTTCAATAGATATTCCTCAAGTCTTCTTCACCTCAAGATACTCAAGTGGTATCAACAACATTTTTTTTAGCCATATTAATTCAAGTTTTGTTTCTCCTAGTTCAGCATTTCTCATTAATAGGTTCTGCATATAAACTGGGTAGATAAGATGACAGTACGCAATCTTAACACGGTTCTTTATTCTACTTTTGAGCCAATTAGTTGTTCCTTAAGTCATTCTAATGTTCACTTTCTAGTCAGCATATAAATAGAAATGAGGTTCTCTGATGTGCTTAAGGACTACACATAAATTGCTCTAATTCATGCAGTAGGAAAAAATATGTACAGGTATTCCTCACTTAGTGACCAAAATTGGGAAGCAGTCAGTAAGTGAATTCATAGTTGTGCTTATGATCTTACTCCAGCGTTCCTTTGCTTTACAAACCTGTGAGATCATAAAATCAACTTTGTCATTTCATCACTATTGTAACTGCAAACAGTTACTAAAAAAGGTAACCATTAAATGAGAACCACCTGTAATCAGTAAACAAAATTTAAAGTAGTTTTGGAACTCAAGTTCTTCTTCTACTATCCATGGAAATGTGTTTGGTTTAACACCTTCTTTTTTGTTATTGGAATATAGATGGATCTGTTCCAGTCTTTTGGCAGTCTCATACTTGCTAAAAAAAACCTGCAAGCAGCATGCTAATAGCATCATCTTACAAAATTTTAAACTGTACTCATAGCATTTCATTTACACTTATACTAGAATACAGTGAACAATATTTTCTGCAAGCCACTTCATTTCATTTTTCAAATTGTCTGTTGTCATTTAGTGGAGACCCACTGGTGATTTGGGCATTTTTTTCAATATAGTTCATAAATTTGTTCTAATACTTCTTTGTATCAAGTAGAATGATCTTATCTTTGATTGTACCCATCTATGCATAAAACTTTTCTTTGACTTTCATTTCTTTAAAAAAGTATTTTGTCTTTCTTTGTTGGGTGTCTAGTTTATATCTCCCTGACACTTTTGTTCTTTCAGATTCAGTAGATTGTATTGTCAACCATTTCTTCTTCTTTTGATAAGTCTAGTGTGAAATATGTTTATTGTTTTGTCCTTAATAACATTACAAATTTTGGTCCAGAGTTCTCCATGAACTCTATTCATCACTTCTATTTTAATAAATCTGTTGTTTATCCTGACCACATACTCATACAGAATATTGGGAGAGTCCAATTATCCCTTACTCATTTTACCTTTCCCTTTCTCTCTTAATTTTGAAGAAAGGGCTAATATATGACCCTAGTTCCAACATGGACTTCTCCATTATTATTTGCCCCAAGTGGACTGCAGACCACAAGCAACATATTTGGGACCACTCAGAGGAAGGAACAATTGGACTAAGAAATGTGCATAGATCTTGCTTCTCAAGGGTGATCTGTGTCTATTTTTTCTTTCAAATAAAAACAGTTAGTGCTTTTTAGATATTTTTTTTACAGTTGTGTATTGCATTTATTAATAATAAAAATTATAGTTAGCACACTTCCTGAGCCTGTTTTATTTACTTGATTGACATAGTGCTTTTTGAAATCCTGATGCTTTCTTTGCAAAGAGTTTCTTGATTTACTCTATTAAATATTTCCTTTGTTTACTCTATTACATTTTATAATGTAATTATTTAATCATTATTTGACTATAAAATGAAGGGAAAAAATTATGAAATCACAATACAGTCATTACATCTTGTCAAGCTTAATAGAGTTCCCTTTTTCCTCATAGTTTTCTGTTTTCTTTCATATGAAGGGGGCTGCCTTATATGAATTTCCCCAAAATGAATGTCCTTCAGATTTGCATCTTGTATTTCCTAATCTTAGCCATCATCCATATGCTATTTGTAGTGAACAGCCCACTTTGAATATCTTGAATAATTCTGAGATACTAATCAATAATCCAGAAGGTCCCTCACCATGCTCAAATTTCATCTAAAGCCCAAGAATCCAAATTCCTCACCAAGACATTGGTTCACTATGAATGTGCGGTTACAGACTCATAAAACTAATTGGCAGAGCTTGCCCAGGTAATAAAATGAAATAATTCTACAGCTTTTGCATTGAAAGCTACTACTGCCTAAGGCCCTGAAGTATAGACAGGATATTTTTGCTTAGTATTGTGCCCAAACGTCTAATTTGATTAGATCACTGCTTCACTGACAATCTAGGCCCCGATGAGGTAGCCATGTTTATCTCACAACTAAAAAATGACAAAGCAGCCTGAAAGGATATAATCATACAAAAAGGCTAAAGGAAAAATGGGAGCCCAAATTCTGATTGCTTTTCTTTCTATAATACAGAGTTTTTCTAGATCCCTGAAGACTGGAACAAATCCATCATTATTTCAATCTACAGAAAAGGAGATAAGAATCCTCCAATTTTCTTCTGCCCCTATTAAGTGTAATTAGCAAGATGTGTGTCAGGCACTTCTGTGGAAAACCCATAAACAGGTTGGAGCAACATAACATCCTGGAAGAAAAACAAGCCAGTTTCAAGGAGGAGCAGTTACAGCTAAGTCAATGTCTTAGTCTTAATTTTCTACAGAAAAATATATTGTTCATCCATGCAGGATTCTCCATTGTTTTTATTGATTCAAAGGCAGCTTCTAGCTCCCTACATTCCATGGAGAAACAGAATGCTGTTTCTACTAACTGATGCCTTTTGAAAGCAATATAATACTATATGAATTTACTCTGATGCTTCAAGTCACCTCTCATCAATAATCCACATTCACAAGGTGTGAGAAAAGTTTGCATTCTGGTGCTCTTCCCCCTTTTCTACTTCTATATTAATGTGTTGGTTCAAGTTTTGATAAACTCTGAGTTTCATTCCCCATCCCAGGTTACTGACTGGCTAAATAATTGACATCTTTCCATCCTTCTATATGTAAAATGTTGTAGCAGTCCTTTCTTAAATACCAGTGAGCCTGAGATAAACTCTTGGAGGTCTTGCTTCTTATTCCAGCAAGGAGCAGCAGGTTATCTATTACAATAAAACTAAAGTAATCATGTTTTGTAAAGGGCTTTTTCTCACTCTAGGAAAATGTTGTTAGTATTAATCAAAATAAAGTCTTTACATATTTGGTTATATCTTTCCAAGCCTTGGTTACTTGAAAAATCAGCAATAGTAGGTCACCCCTAAAGCCCATAAACTTTAAAGCACAATTTTGCACTTTGCTAATTGCAGTGGCAATAACTATATCCCAGCTGCCATACCTTTAAAAAAAACCCTTTTATTAGCTATTATTATATGATGTGCAGGCTTGTTCTTTAAGCTGTACATGACTAGTTTACTCTAATTTTTAGAGCATTATTGTAAGTGCTTCCTGCATATTAAATTCATGACTGACCTAATTCCTGGGGTGACCTATATGCTTTGCTGGTTAAAATATTGGTTTAAATGATTTTAAATGGATACTTAGGCCTCCCTGAGCTTATAGTTAATTGTATATCTCCATGGAAGTCAGGCTTTCTCATGTCTTTAAAATAGTATTAGTTATCAGCCTAGTATCTGACTTTATTTGGTTCTGAGAAAATCTAGTCTGCTCTGCAACAAAGAGCCCTCAAAACCAATATTCAGCAAACTTTGTAAATGTGAATATGTACCTGAATCACTCTTGACTCTAATGACTACACAGGAAAGTTCATGGAGTTTTCTTGGCAGCATTTTCAGAAATGTCTTGCCAATGACTTCTTCCTAAGCTAATAAAAGACTGACTCAAAGTCACTCTACTGGCTTCATGCTCCCAATACAGGAGTGGAACAGATTCTTCCAGTTTCCTCTTCAATGTCTTTACTCACACATCAAACTGGCTTAGTCCAATTCTAGCAAAATCCTCTCTCTCCTTAAGAATGTGCTTCTTCAGGAGGCTGTTCTCTTGTACTAAATACTTAATTAACATTCTCTGCCAGTCCCACAAGATGGCTTTCACTCTAGCCCACCGTTTCACACTCAGAGACACATTAAAAATGGTGACTTTCTCACGTCCTTCTTTTTAATTGAAAGTTTTACAAAGAAGATAAAAACTAAGCCAAGATAATAAAGAATAAAAGCAGCAAAGGAAGTAAGAAGAAGAAATAAAAAAGTGAAAGTACAGAAAGAAAGAATAAAGAAATAGAAGTTTCTAATTTCCTTTGCAGAAAATATAATTACAATTACAAGATTATATCTTACTCTATGATTACAAAAGAAAGCTCACTTTTTTTTATTATCCTATTTTTGATGATGATGCGGAGGAGGAGGGGAAAAAAACCTTTTCCTAGCCTCATTAGCCAGCTCATTTGAGGCATATACTTTTCTCCTGTTAACTAATTAGTCACTGCATATCTCCACAACACTTATTTATTGCAATTGCCATCTCTATCAAATATTTGTTCAGAAATTTGAGTAGGTTACCTTCTTATGTCAAGATTTGTTTATAATTTTCAGTTACCTATAATGTCCTTTACTGTTTTCTACTGTGCTTTGGTCTTTGATAGTAAAGTTAAATAAATGAATAAATAAGCAAAGAAATTAATTTCCACCAATTAGGATGTTGATTAGAACTCTTAAGTGTTTAAACACTTTGGGGGAAAGCTGTGGAACTTGCCTTTTTTTGAATGACATGTCTGCACAACAAGCAGAAATGCAATCAATATTTTCAGCATAGAAATGAAGTATTGAGCACCTGTTTCTTTTACATTTTTCTTTGCCATAGCAGATGTCAATTCTCTCTTCAAGAAGGAGGGGCATTTATGGGTATTTTCTCTTAAATCCTCAGTGCTGTTACTTAGTGATTGTTTTAACACAGAAATTAACCTGGTTTTGAGAAGTTAGTTCACACAAGAGCTCCCAGCAGGATCTCTCTCTATGTGCTTTGGCAATTAATTTTAGACAAGTCAGCTGCAGAATCTTCAGCTACAACTGTGAAGGACTGAAACTAGAAATCCATATTTTTTCTCACTCACAGATCACATATAGGCACAACTGATTGAGCAATCTCACTTTCAAAGGCATTGTAGTTTTTTTGAAAATCATCTTTCTTCCCTTTCTTGCAAAGTGGGACATCTAGCATTTTTCATTGTCTTCTATCTGTTCGATTCTTCATTTGGAGTGGAATTGCCTCCTTCCTATCCTCCTACAATATAGTTTGCAAGAGCCTCCTACAATGGTAGGGCCACCAGGATAATCTTTCCTTCACAACTATCACCCACTGGAACTCTTCACTGAGAAGTGCAGTCACTGCAAATCAGTGCTTCCAACCTCTAACCTCTATGAATGGTTCAGAAGGAAACCATGGTTGATGGTTTCAACAACCACTGGAAGTTCTAGTAAGACCATAAAGGTACACTTCCCCATGGATGACAGTGGTCATTCATCAGAGCAGCTAATTCTGGTTTAGTCCCAAGTCAAGGTCTTGACTGAAAAAGTATATATAGCTAAACTGCTTCCCCTAGGATGGTCTATTACTGAACCCCAAGCACAGTCTCAGTAGCTTTCCCCAAAAGAGAAAGGTTGGACATAAGATGATACAGATAGGGAGATGCACCCCTTTCCAGGGGGGTGGGGGTGTGAATCATAGTTTCTTGCAAGGCAGCCAATATCACTTTCCCAGAACAGCACTGACAACCTTCCAGATCCAACTTGTAATCTCTCCTCCAGACCTCCCACAAGGAGAGAATAAAGCCCACAGATAGTCAGGTATAGTCAAAAGTGTATTTCATCAGAGTTCATAGCCTACAAATTATCCAAGATAAATTGATAGACATCTAGTCTATCTAGTCACCACAATGCACTCTGCTCATGAAGTCTCCTGAACATTTTTGCCAAAGTGAACAACTTCAATTACAAAATGGTGTGGTAACTGATCATACTAACTGGGTATTCATCCACTCTCTTCTAAATGTCCACTGAAGCAATAAGAATGGATAAGTAATTATATTTCACTTCCCTTATCGTTAAAAAGACTTACGGCTGAGTAAATACCCAAGCTGAGTCAGATTTCCTTTCTAATGTTCTTAGTGACTTTTTGGCCATTTGAGTTTCGGAGCTCAGTAGGTAGGTCTCACTCAGTAGGTAAACCAAGGAACTATCCAGAATTGGCCAACAGAGAAGAGCACCTGGGACAATTATAAAAAATGTCCAGGTTGGTGCTTGTTGCCAGTAACTAACCAAGCACAATAAAACTGCTTGGAAAACACACTCAAGTATCTGTTGAAAAAGTTCAGACTCATGAGGGATCTGAGGTGAACCATTTTAATTGATATCCTGCTCCCAATTTTCTTGGGCTTTCTTCTGTATTCACTGAGAAAAAAAATCATTTTCTCATTAAAAAGAATGATAGACCTCCATGTTTCTCAGTTGCTGCTTTTTTGCCAATATCCAGATCATTGTAGGAAAACAAAATGACAATGATTAAGAGAAACAACATCAAGTTGAACTTTGCCACAATTATATAAAGTAAGCTCTTTCAAGAATGAATAACACTTTTTTAAAAAAGAGTATTACTTGTAC